GGGATGTGTCATGAATTTGTTTTGCGTATCTGTACCGACTTAATTAGTTGATTATTAGCTGAATTGCTGTGTTATGTCTGTCATCGTTTAGGTCTATTTGAAGTTTTGGACGGAACTTGGCTCAGTGGTTTGGAACTAATTACAAGATACCGTCGCTATTCTGACATCCGTAGTTATTAATGTAGTGAACGATTAATCAAAAGATATGACGTATTCAGTACTTAGTGTGATTGGCTTTATGATTGAAGGTTACGCCCTAGAGTCTTTTTACTGCATTGTAATTGGTCAGAGTTTTGAAAATGAATAAAGAGAGTTTGAGTTGGTCTTGGCGAATACTCCACGACAGACGAGTCCGAGAGAGTCCAGGGGCGAGCCTTGAGGCAGTCCAGTCTTGGGCTAGTCTTGGGTCAGCCTTGCGAGAGTCTTGGGGATCTTTTCCCCAGGGCGCTGTGTCTTATAGAGTGCTCCAAAAGATCGACTAAGACGAGAGCTGAAACGTATTTCGTTGTGTGTGTCTTATTTGACTGTAAAGTTAAAGTGACTTTCCCGATCCCGTACCTCAAGGGGACGAGATATAGAGATGAGAGGAGATTCCCCCCCCCCGACAGTGTGGAGACCCCGAGTAGGGAGAATTTCCCCCTGATAAATCTTCAATTGAAGATCAAATAAAAATTTTGGAGTGATTTTGCAAAAGTGAACATGGTCATTTTTGAAATTCAATTTTTTCATAACTTGATGTCTATAACTTGAACAATTCAGCATCTCTGTTGACACATGTCTTGAGTTTATGGATTCTGCAATGAACTTCACTCTACCTACCTACCAGGTAAGTATTTAGTTATACCCTTTGTTTATCCCATTCTTTGGCTTATTCATCAACTGACTTCATAGAAAAGTTAAGATTTGACTCCAGTAATGCCATATTCAACGTGGGCGTAATTGAATAAAGAGAGCAGTTGCAAGCAATATAAGTGAAGACTATCCTTAAGAGTCACCTGGTTCATAGTTGCTTCACCCAAATCGCCAAGTTTGATGAAACTCGCAAGGATTCAAGCCATTTCATGCAAGTAACCTTTTTACAATTAATGGATGCAGATCATATCAATGCTTTGTTGATTGCTCATTGTACAGCGATGACATGACTGCCAGTGTTGTACCTCATTTATGCCACTATTATTGCCCTATCTAAGAATGAATATACTTAGATTGTTAAAGAATTATACATGTCTGTGGAGATGTATATATGGTAACTACATGGTGGGTTCCCTCTGTACCTGCTTATTCACACCTTCTCATGAATGACCCTGGAATGCCTGAACTACAACCTTGTCCTTTGTAACACTCCCTGGCTTCAGTTATAATGTAGTTCTCCACAATGTGTCTAGTGATGTATGTTCAGGTGACATAAATCATGCGATATACTTCGTTAGCTACCGCATTGAGCATGCCAGTGGTACCGGTAATACATATGTGAGACACACATTAAATTCTGGTGGGCAGGCCGTTTATGCAAAGTCATTTGGTCTGCTGGGTTGTCTGGGTACGCATACAGTCTTTGACAATTTGGCGGGGGTTGTGTCCTAATCCTTTCTATACTTCCTGTATGGGGGTGTGGTCCCTTGATTTTATTTTGAGCTCTCTGAGGATTTCCTGGGTTATGTATGTTATTTAAGCTCAATGCAGGATAAGTTATAGTAGTGAAAGTTGCACATGTTAACTGATTGATCTATTTTCATAGATCATCTTTTAGCATGTTTCTATGGTGTTCTGCAAATAGTTGTGGGGCACTCATTGACAGAATTTAGCACAAACATACTAGTCACTGTCTTTTTTGTGATTAAACACAATGGCACTGTCATCCATGTCAGATTATATACAATATATTCATTGACTGTGATAAAGACGGTTTTATTCGGTGCACATGCTTTTGTATGTTACTTGGTGTATGTTAAATGGTATTATTATTTGAGGTACATGTACATCTCTGGGCAGTGTTCTTGTTGTGTTTATCAACAGCATTTAAAACCTGAACATCAAAATTCAAGCAGCCATTGATACCACATACACATACATACATAAATACACACTTGAATTTAATGTGAATGAAGCGACACAGCCTTTTTATTTCATCACTTTGTCTCACAGTTCCTGTTTCATCATGGAGGTCTTCCTTCCATCATTGTACACGAATTTATGAAATTGTTGTAGTTGAGCAGTCACATTCACACCAAGACTATTGCTTATTAATCACTCCACTATGATGTCTAAGACTATGGTTGAGCGCGCCACCTATATGGAGTGAATCTGTTTTGCATACTGATGAAGAGAAAATTTATATATATATATTGTAGAATATAATTATATTATAAACAATCTGTAAAGTTTTTATCTCAGTCTGTGAGTAAATCACTACAACAACACTATACAATGTTACCCTAAAGTGCCCAATGCCAGTTTACAAAATATGCCACAGTTACTAGTATCTGCAGCAATTACACTTAGCATATAACGGCATACTATTTAAATTGTCTTATATGCGCATCTATTTTTGCTTAAATATTAACATCCAGGATAGTGCATGTCACATTTATACATGGAAGACTGGCTTGCATATACTAGTTAAAAAATACTCCGTTTCTAGATAGCATAACACAAATTTTGCTTGAGATGAGAGTCAATCTCCGGCCAAAGTTCTTGTGAAACCGTACGAATTAGACGATAGCGGAATCGGTCAACCAGTTGTCTACAGTAGTATAATGAATGGTCACAAACTTGAGAATTCATTATGTAAATGCATACTGTTTTGTAGATCAATATTTGGTATTTCGTAATTAGTCTATGTATATAATTAGCTGTTTTCTTCTAGTGTATTGTATATCGTAACAATAGTTTGCTCAAATACAGTGTGTTTAGTTAAATGTCTGCTACCAAGTCGTTTCATTCTAACCTTTATTTAATTTAGTTTTTTGTATTTTTCCCTTAACACTAATACTTGATTCACTTTTGTGTAATGCCACATATAATTTGTTACTTCTATTTAAAGACTTGCAACAAATAAATAAACATCTGGCATTTTGACTTGTATGTATAATTGGTATTGAAAAAAAACATCAAATCAGTAATTATTCAAAAGTAGATGAAAATGCTGAAAAAAATAGATAGTAAAAGAAAAAGGCACCGCTGGGATTCGAACCCAGGATCTCCTGTTTACTAGACAGGCGCTTTAACCAACTAAGCCACGGCGCCAGCTGATATGAACGGGCGATTACAGTACATTTAGAACTATAAGCTGCGTAATTAAATATGCAAATAAAATCTACTGTTGGCGCTGATATAGTAGAATCATTCATTGTGATTGTTGGGTGCTTATTAGTTTTTGAACCAACAAATATGGCCTTCCTTGTGAGTATTTTAGTCTAGAAACGGGAATAAATAACGAAAGAAAAGTGATGCGCAGTAGACGTGCGCAGTTGCAATAGTTGCTTTGCGAATCTTGGTATGTGTGGCCTTTCTCAGCGAAGCGGGGGGTTCAATATAGTCATCTGTTTCAGTTTCGTCGAATGCGTCTCTGTCCTTCCTGTTTACCTGGACGCATTGCTTCACATGTGGTGTAGATAGACCGACTCCTTGAACATTAATCAAATGAAGAGGAAATTGACAGTGTCTTGGATGAGTCGATGACGTGGAGTGTAGACCTGCATTTTCTTCTTATTACTGTACAGTGTACTACGATTTATTGTTTGTACCAATGACGTAAACACCATGTAAAACGGTAAGATATCTTCAGTTCGGACATTCAACATGTAGGGTTTGTTTCCGGTTATCTTTTGTCGCGTTTTTGCCTGTAGATACATTTTGGCACCACAAATGTCGTGTTTACTGTTTTTCAATGATAACAAGTCCATTCCAATGAGTGCTTATGGCGGTAACGTCACCCTTTAATTTCGGGTGCAGCTCCTCAATGTCAAAATCGATCGAAACGAAGTCGTTTCGAACCCATGGCCACTGCCGAACCCACAGTTTCCGTAAACTATCGACCCCCCTGTACCTCGTACAGAGTCCAGTCGTATTTTTACTTGTCAGTGGCTTTGCCGGCAAAAGGAACAAATAATGTTATCGGTCGAAATGAAATGAATCTATAGAATCGCACCTGGTCTTTCCGTCTTCAACCCAAATCCTTCGTTTTGACGACAATTTTTCCATGTTCAGTGGTAAACTTTGTGCAGACAAGTCGCCCATTTGTTAGATCTGGATGTGGCGGATATGATTTCATAATAATAATAATAATAATAATAGTAAATTTAATTCACTAGTTTCAAAAGTAAAATTTAATTTTACGAAAATTTATAAAAAGTTCAGGGTACGTTAAGTGTTTGTTATTTAGAACGTATTTATACAGTATATATTGTTTGAATGTTTGATGTGATTATCGTACACAAATTGTGAATAATGTGCAAGTGGCTTATAATAACGCTATAAGATTGGTCTTTAGCCTTAATCGGGCTAGCAGCGCCAGTGTTAATTGCGTGAATAGAAATATTTTCAACTTTGAATCTCTTCAGCACAAGGCATTATATAACTTCAGTCAGCGCCTCCTTACGAGCGATAATGCTTTAATTCGTACTTGTATGATTTGAAGTATATGTATCTTGTAATTTTAAAGCGACCATGTGTAATTTAAGTTTTGAAATGTAACAGTACTTTAGGCCGGTGGCCATATAGTGCGGAATAAAGAAATAATAATAAAAATAATAATAATTCGTACTTGTGTCAACTCTGACAGTTTTTTCTTATCCAAATTTTGGACTAATCTTAGACGTTGTATTTATTAGTGTTGGTGTTATGTATTTAATATGGGACTTTTTTGGCCCGAAATAAAGGAATAATAATAATAATAATAATAAAAGTATACCGGTACAACTCTTACATTTGTTACCAATAATACTATATTCATACAGTTCACATCAGCAATATCTATTGATCTTGCAATTAATATAAAGCTTTTGAATTGTAAATAACAAAATAGTTAAATTACAATCAAGAGGGAAGAATAGGATTCTGTAATCATCTGTATTCACTTTGCATACCAAATTGAACATGTACAAGTGTACAAGGAAGCAGTTTCCAGTTGTATAGGCAGTGTGTTCTGCAATTTAATCAATAATAGGTTATGTAATTTTTCAGAGACACATAATATTATGAATAACATTCAGCCTGGGTTTAGAAAAGGTTATCTGACTGCTGATCACATTTTTACTCTAAAAACAATAGTTAGTAAATACAATGTACATGAAACATAAGGCTATTGTTTGGAAGGATGGTTTATTTTATAATTTTTTAAAGAACTTATCACTTACCGGTAAGTTAAAAACATGTATTTGTAACAATAACAATACCAAGACGTGTACAAGTATTCGCTCTTTGGCAAAGAATTATCTCCAATATTTAATACAAATAAGGGTGTGTGACAGGGATGTACTACAAGTCCAATGCTTTTTACAGCGTAATCTTTATGTTAATGTCTTGAATAACACATTAACAGATTCAATAAACCAGGTACAATGTATCGTTAAATAATTATAAAATTAACTTTTTATTTTATGCAGATGACCTAGTATTGATTTCAACAACACAATTAGGTTTGCAAACTGCATTAAATAAATTATCTGAGTACTGCCACAAATGGAAACTCAAGGTAAATCTTATGATTTAAAAAAAAAAACAATGAGATGGAGAGAGTTATTTAAATTCCAAGAACAAAACATAAGTTGTGTCAGTTCAAAAATTTATTTAGATATAACTTTACAATCAAATGGAAAGTTCCAAGAAACATGACTATTGCTACGTTCACACAACAGCATTTTATCGGAGTGCTATAGCCAAGTTCGACTCAAATAAACCCTTTGGTTGAATTCTGATAGGATTGAGCCCTGACATGGCCAAGACCGTATATACACAACGAGCCCAACTATTGGAGCCCAAATCACTCTCTCAATCATCTTCTTTAAGTAACCTATCATTTCAATTATGGCGGAGACAAAATCATTTATAATTTCATGCAATTTCCGGTTTGACGAAGTATGTGCCCTAGTATTTAGTTGGCAGAGTAAAGAAATACTGCGATATAATATTGGTAGCTCACCGGGAAACAGAAAAATGGCGTACAAAATTATGCGACAAAAACTTGAAAGAACAATGGAAATTGAAGAAACTTTTTTTCAGAGTAATTATTTGAGGGCACAGTTCCGTTCTTCTCTGATCGAACTGAATTGAACTCTGGCAGATCTCGGCTCTTGTATGATCCCTGACCGTGTAAACGCATTGGAGATAATCTGTTAATCGATGGAAAGGAGCAGTAGTTCGACTCCGATAGAATGCTTCCATGTAAATGTAGCAAATTTTTAGCAGACAAAGCTACTAGAGCAATGTTAAAAGAAATGTCAAGAGAGACTAGACGTAGAACATTTATGCATCTTTTTAGCTCAGCTGTAATTGAAGATGACCAAGCGGAGCTCATGGGTTGACAACACCTGTTGTCCATTGTACGTCATCCGTCCATCCATCCAACATTTTTCATTCAAACGACTTCTTCTCCAAAAGCGTCAGCTGAATGCTTTGCTATGCACATCGCACCTACATGTACCTGGGATGGTCCTCCGTCAGATTTGTTCATTTCATGACATCACATCACTTAACATGAAATATTTTTGTCATTTATGGTTAAAAAATTATTTTTTTCACAACTGCTTGTCAGAATGCTTTGAAGACTTGTTATTTTCATGTCACCATATGCAAGTGTCTATTTTTAGTGCATTTTTTAAAATTGCGCATTTTTTACTTCTTCTCCGAAATGGCCTGCCACATTGCTTTGAAATTCATAATGTAGATGCATTGACTAGTCCTCTCAAGTTTGTTCATTTGGTAAAGTTATCTCCATTTTTTTGTTATTATTTTGTTGGATTTTTTCACTTTTCCCCATACAAGTTTAATGCATGGACTCCAGTAGACAACAGTATCAGTTGGAAGCTAGGCTTTCTCAGTACACATTGTCTTGGAAAATGACCTGGAAGGGCCAATGTTTTCCAAAAATGCTCAACTTCAGGTCAAGGTCATTTCAAGGTTTGTACATTTGCAGCTTTCATATGAGTGAAAAGTGAGTGTGGGAGGGACTAAAACACCTTCCCAATGTCTTCAAGGAAAGGTCAAGGTCATCTCAAGATCACATGTCACTTTGTCATATTGTCTAACTTTGTCATTCTCAATTCAGTCACATGTACAGTCCCCAAATAATTCAAAAATATATTCTGGCAATAGTACACTAATACATTTCCTCTTACAGGATATGGCCTTCCAGTGACCATTACTAAACACAATTACTAAACTATCATAGATTCCACTTCTCCTATCCACCTAATAACTGCCACTGCCCTCTGCACTTGTCAATTACAGCTCTACTGAACGTAAAGTCGCTTGTTTAGATTTTGTTATATGGATCAACAATTTGGGGCCATGGCATAATACTAGTAGACAATAGATGGGACAAAACACCAAGTGAACAGTTACATTTGAAATTTTTGAAAAAATACTAGGTGTGAGTAAATTCTCCTCAAATGCTGCATGTAAAGCTGAATTTGGTGAATTTCCATTACTCATAGATTTTCAGGAAAATCTTATTAAGTACTGATATTGTATTAGTGACTTACCAGATAGTAATACTACAAAACAAGCCGTTGAAGAACAAAAGCAACAGAATTTACATGGGTTAACGTCAGTAAAAGATACGAGTCGTGTTCATGTTAGAGATCTCGGCACATTCTGAGACTCGAGACCGAGTCGGCATGTCTCTAAGGGTGTTTGTGAACTGTCGGGCCGAGTCGGCATGTTTTGAAAAAAAATGATCTTGGTCACAATAGTTGCATAATGACCTAAGCTAAAGGTCATGTGGTAGCCATAGTACCCAATATTAGCATAATGACTTAAGCTAAAGGTCATGTGGTAGCCATAGTACCCAATATTAGCATAATGACCTAAGCTAAAGGTCATTTGGTAGCCATAGTAACCAATATTAACATAGTTCAAGTTTGGAGTATTTGGTCGGTAAAAATAAATTAATAAAGTGGAATGGACCTTTATTTTTTGGTATGTACATGTCATACAATTTGTGATTCCATAGTGATAGCTTATATGTGTATCATATTTTTTTATAATTACAAGTGTCTATTTAAATTCAATGAAAACATCAAATTGTATGGTTCCATACTTTGATAATAAATGCTACATTGTTTGCCATTGTATTGTGTTCTCGATCCATGTATATACCATATGTGAAATTCAGTAAATTGAATGTACACTGAGGAGTGTGACAATTTTAATCTAACAGAAGAAAAGAATGAGTTAGACACAGCTCAAAATTGTAACCAATATACAAGCAGTCTGTGAGAATATTGTCTTCCACTTTTTCTTGACTGTGTACTCTGAAATAGAAATTGCAGTGGTATTTATATGGAGAATGTAAATCAACATGAGCTATTTCCTCATTTACCAATCTCCATCGTGATGTGCGTACATGTCAAAATATTTGTAAAGCATTCCTAATGTAGTTAATCTACAAAATACATTTATGGTGATTAATGTCTAAATAATAGCGCTAATAAAAAAAAAAATGACAATGTTCACATTAGCAACTAACATTTGTCAGTTTTGAATTGTGAAAAGATGCAAATTTGAATATTATTATATTATATTCAGGGGGTTTTCTACAAAAAAAATGCAAGAGGGAGCACTGCAATCCAGCGGTGCCATCTGGTTGCCAGAGGATCTGCTCCCCAGGGTAAGGGGGCACATGGCCATGGCATGAGGACGCTGCGCCCCTATTCCCTTGTTTGAAAAAATCCCTGATATTTATTTAATATTGAAGTTCGTGACAATACCCCAAGTTACATGTATACGGTACTATTGTTGCCATATTAACAAATGTGATATGATTTGTCCAAGTGTACATACTACACTAGCCATATTGACATGAATATGCCAAAGTTTACTTAGTTTTATAACCTTAATGCAGCTTATAGCACCCATGCAGTTGGCATCTTAGTTCATAAAAAAAAATTGTATTTGAGTAAGGACCTTTGGATACATGTTTTTATTATTTACCCTCGTCTCAATGACCTCGTATAATTTATCAAAGAAACTCTCTGACTCAAACCTCTTATCCTTACAATGCCAATTTTTCCCACCCAAATTTTGATACATTTTGCTAATTTTTATGCGTTTTTCTAAAAATTTTGACCAAACGAACCTAATTTTTCACTGCTATACGTCTTGATCAAAATGATGAAAGATGTGGGAAAAGTTAGGGGGTGACAAATTTAGGCTTTCTCAAATGGGATTTTCTAAAAGCATACATGTACATACGCATATAGTTATTTCTTAAAATCCCATGTACTGTTTTGAGTAATGTTTTTTACATGCATTGATTACTTGGGACCCACATGGGGGACGCACATGGGACCCACATTGGACCAAGATCAAACATCTCAGTGACAAGACTGTGTTTTATATGGAATATCGTTTTAGATTTGGCTCTGTAAATTTCATTATATATGATTTGGTATTCCTCTGGTATTTATTAGACCTGTTATCAAATTGTGATTACACAATATAGATGATGAAAGATTGATCACTGTACCTTGGTAAAAACTGTTGTCAAAGGTTATTGATTCTTCCACACACAGATCTGTTGCCACATGATGTACAATAAAAAAATTATGACCATACTCTTTGTAATGCCTTCTGTTTTAAGAATACAAAATACAATGTGTTAAAATGATCAAAATGTGACATGTTAAATACTGACTTGCTAAATAGTTATAATTATGCTTTGAATCTATAATCATATTTATATGCGACATGAAACAAGCTGGCAATGACAGTGATGACATGTCGGACCATTCCATTCTGTAGCAGGGGGCGGAATATTGCCTTCTTTGTCAAATAACTGCAACTGAAAATACAAAAATTATCTTTCATGGTGTGGGTAAACTTTGTTTATAATATTATAACCATTTTGTAATCAAGTCCTGTTTTAGTAATATTGCTCACACTTTAACCCCAATCCCTACCTCTAGATAATGGACTCTTCCTAATAAAAGGCACAATACACAGCTGAGTACACTAGTGCCAGCAGTTGTAGTTGCTATATTCACAGTCGCATATAGTGATCCATATAGTGATAGTGATGTAGGTGAGTGGAATTGTGTACCACAGTGTCAGTACCATGGTACATGTTCAGTCGATGACTGTGTATTGAGTATTAGCTGTTCTGTTCTGTTTATGGTGACATAACATGTACATGTACAATAAGATGCAGACAGTATTATGGATTTTTTACTTTCAGTTTGAACTACAGAGAGAAATGTCATGTGAATACAGTACAACTTTCAAAATTACGGTAATAATGACAATGTGAATTAGACCTTTGCACATCTATGGATATTTATATCATGTGCTACTATTAATACTGGTAATTTATATTTGTTTCAAAATTCTTGTTTGTGCATACTGATCCATGCAATTGGGCAGCAAATGAGATATAGCACATAATATATTAGTACAACAAGTGTGAGTACTACATTTATGGTCTTGACCTTATTCTCATTCAAGTATGTGTGGGAATAAACATTGTTTGGACTGAGAGAGTATACCATAAGTGGTGTTCAGAAAGAACTTGGAAAGAATTTTTTTCTTGTGTGACATGTAATGGTTTGAATCCTGCTACATGTAAGGAAAGAATCCAACTGCAGACATGTTTTTAGACGATAAAATGTTCAGATGAGTCAATCAAATATACAATATAGTGACCCAGTTTGACAAAGGAAGGACCCATTGTATTGATGTTAAAATGACCTTGTGAACTTAGAAGTCCTTACTTCTTTTCAGATTGTCAAGAAAAAGAGCTAACACTTTACATTGCTTACTGAACTTGTCATCGCACAGTTACAATGTTCCGAACACGACGCTTATATCGCCCTGTGTTGTTGCTGGCAATGGCCATGGGTTGCTGTGTAATGGGATACATGTTGGTTTTACACCAAGATGCAAGTTCAGTACACAGGTAAGTGATTTTATGTGAAGTCAATGGAGGAATCAATAGACAGGTCATATGCCCTACAGACTTGTGTACAAAATATTTATTGTATCTCCTTTACAATTACAAGACCTTAAACATGTCATGTTGATCAAACCTTATTTCTAAAGTAATGTACAGCAATACTGATATGTAATACTCGCCAGACAGCCAAACATGGGTGGGGCCATTCTCAGAGTTCATACTTACTGCATTTAGAAAAAGATTCTCGCACAATAGTGGGCTACTTTTATCATTCAAATCTTTTTGTAAGAACTGCTCTCACAATTCCGAAGTTCAAGCCCCGCATATATTTGACATATTCTGTCTTCTACTCAAGTCTTCTGTTTTATGTCTATACATGTATCTCTTTTTATTTCCAAATTAGAGTCAATACAAAGCTACTTACAGGTCTGATTGGCTACTCAACCGTAACTAACAGTAACAGTCAGGCCAATCAGAGAATAACTTTGTTTGTTGACAGGTTTTTTCAACATTTAAATGTGTCTCTAAATTTTAAATTTTGTACAAGTTTTGAATTTGCTTTGTTTGTTTGAAATCATTATTTTCAATATATTTACTTTAAATAAAAAATAGTTTTGGGGGAAACTATACTGTATTGTTCCTCTTGAAGTAAAATAATGAATAAATTACTTAAATCACAAGTCATATTAGACATATTATGTAAATCTTATGGTTGCTATTGAATATGACACATCTTGCTGACTGTGATCTAATTGTGCTAAAAATATACAAATTGTGAATTAATAAATATGACACAAATTATTTTGTTTTTCTCTTTCAGTCTTATGAATATACCGGAAAACATTCATAATTTCCAGGAATATCAACGTGTGCATGAGAAAGATGCTTTACATATTGATTCTTCAAACAATGATAAAATTGAACAGATTGCAAGTTTATTAGGAGTAGATGTTAACCTCAATCATGAAGCTGATGTTTCAAATAAAATTCTTCAAATTGAGCTGCTCCTTGATAAATTTCGTACTCAAGGTGACGACAAACAAGCTGGCAATGTTCTAAAGGAAATACAGTCTGTGTTACAATTCAGTTCAAATGATAGGACTAACAATAATATAACATCAGTTAATAAAACTGTTGCAGTCGAAGAGAAGGTTTCTGCTGAGAGTATATTAGAAAATATTGAAAATCTTTTAGAACAGCCAGTAGTGCCACCACCTCCCATACCGAAGGTTAAACTAGACATAAAGCCATATATTAAAGAACCAAATTTCAAACCATCGGTGAGTATATTATTTTTAAAACTACAATGTATTTTTTTTTCAATTTTTTGAAATTAACTGGTACTTGTTATTTTTAGTCTTTGTAATCGATAGGGTATTTTCACCTATCATGCCTGCTAACGTCGACATGGAATTCTCACCTATCATGCCCATAAAAAGTACTTTTTCGTTTCTGTTTTACTCACATTACAAGTTTGTTAAATTTTAATGAGAAATCCGACTTTTATGGTTTAACCCTTTTAATGTCATACATTTTCCAATCAAGATGTTGTTTTTTTAGGTATTTTTCTATAACCTTTTTGTTAATTTCAGATCAAATAATGCTACAGATTTTGATCCAAATTGTTGAAATTATTTTGTGTAATATTTGCATTCTATGGGTTCTGATTTTCTAACGTATAAAGGGATTAAATTCTGCTATTTTTAAATTAACTTTTAGTCGCAACAGTCTTCAGGCAAGCAGATCACATTTAAACAGCAGCTTAATTTAGTTTTGGTGGTGGAAATATATTTGTTGGCATACATAGAGTAGAAGATAATATTCAACAGTTATTTAGTCTCATTGAGTATAAGCAAGTTAACATGAAAATATACACAATGGCAGTACAGTGTGTGGAAAAAATTGATGCGTGTCTACTGCCTGGGTGCATGCTTTGTGATATTCTTATGGTAATCAATTTATTATACATCTTTTCTCTGCTTGAAGTAATAATTTAATGAAAAAATAACAGCAAAAAATGCCAATGAAAAACCTTAGGTTTGTAGTTCTACCAATTTTGTCTAATAATTAACATGAAATGTTCAATAATGATGAAGACTTTTTTTTTGCCACGTACAGTAATTCAGTTCCACAATTAGCAAACAATTTCGTCCTGAACAAAAAGTGGCTTACAGTTTTGGTGCTTCACTTAATACATGGGAGTCAAATTTTTATTATGATCATTTGTGTGCATGTTCGTCAACAATTACTTACTATTATATATTGATCAAATTTACCCTGGTAGCTAATTTTCATATTACCAGTAATTATCTTATTTCAGCTTGTGTATGCAACCTCTCAAACTTAAAAAAGCATATTTTGATCAAATTTAGTACATAGGTACCTTGGGGGGTAATACATAGACATGATTAATTTTAGAGCCATGACTATGCATATTAAGTAGCTATTTTGCATATGGTCTCATTTTAGCCATTGTAAGCAAAATCTAAAAAAAACAAAACTGATTTTACTCAAATTTGCTATATATTGATCCGAACTTCTAAAGCCATTGCTCCTTCACTGATGTTATAAATACTTTTTTATAAAACAGCTTTGCAGACTTTAATTTTGATACATCAGTTATGTTCAATTAGAAACGAATGTTGTAATTTATTTTTGCTTTCTCTAGATTTGTTCTAAGACAGTGACCAAATATGCCGAGAAATCTGCTTGGTTTAAAAGTCGACACATTCCAGATATTAAAATATTCATGGATAAATATGATGTTAACAATTTTACAAATTACTACAAGTTGTCGCATTATGGATTACCGTTTGGCATTAAAGGTGTTGACAGGAAAGGTATGTTTCTATTTTCTAACATTCTGATTATACATTTCATACATCACTATTTTTCATGCAGACATTGATGTTCTGAATTCAAAACCTTTGTTTGATACAGCCTGTCACATAAATGAAAAGTTTCTATTAAAAATGATGTGTGATAATATGAATATTTCTGCTGCTTTCTGTGGCGTTATTAAATTACATTTATGCATCAAAGGTGGTTTTTGTATGCTGCATTGTCTACAATAATTCCATATCTTTTAATCATCCAGCTGTTGAAAATTACAATTCCACAAAAAGAATATCCCCCCAGTACAATTATCAGTATGCATGTCTACCTTGTATCAACATTGTTTTATACACTCACAATTAACATCATGTATGTTTGCATAATATTCATCTAATTTGAAGCTTAATATCTAAAAAAACAAACGTTATTTTAGGGAAACTTAGTACAATGGTACTCCAGGATAATTGGCAAATCTGAGGGTTTTTTGGATGAAATCTATGCATATTAATGATGCTATTTTCAATTTTCCAATTTTTGGCAAATAGTTTTGTCCTTTTTGATTAAAATACTGTTTTTAACTTTTAACTCAATTACTTGATTCTTGGTATGATTTGTATCATGATCAAACACTTTGAAAAGACAGGTCGCTTGTTTATATCATCCTGTTATTAGTTTTACTTATACATTTTGACTGGATGCCATTTTATTAATCCTGAATACTACAAGCCTGAAGCAGTATAAAAAAGTAAATGAATATTTAAATTAGATTTCACAATTCTATAAATATTTATTATTGCAACTAGTGATAGTTAAAAAATGAGGAGCAGTGCAAAGCAAACATAAGTGAAATTGCTTTCTAATTTGCATCTGAGCAGATAACAACATTGAAATATACATGTAGATAAAAACAAGTTTGCTCACAGATGACTGAATTATGTTCATCATTGTACATGATAAAATTGCAAAGGTCACACTATTCAATGATTTTTAATAATAAAAAGTTCTAAAAATAAGTCGTCAATGGACTAACACATGTTACATTGTTTTGTAAAACTGTCAATTTTTCACAACCAAATTTTGATAATTGAATGTTGTTTTTTTAAATCAGCATTAATTTAAGGTAGTTATTAAAACAGAAGATCTTTACTTTTACAACATTGTTTTATGTAAAACAAAAGGGTTAAACATTCAAGAAGCAAATAGGATTTTTCAAGTCATTTTTGTTTGGGTTCATTGGCAAAAACGTCATATCTCAAAATTACATTTAGTAAAAAAAATCTATTTTATAAGATGTGTACATGTAGGAAAATTTGCATATGAATGCAATCCTCGTTTCATTTATATTACAAGAACTAGTGTTCATTCACATCAAACTTAACTGTCATATACTATGGAACTATGGAAGAATTTTAAGTGTTGGTCATAGTATGTACTTGATTATTTAGTTTAATTAGTATCTGAATTGAATTATTATCACTGTTCAATTATTTTATAATTTCTAAAGCCAGCTCTGATACTTTTAATTAGCTTTGTTTCTTTCTTGGAATTTGGGAAAATGTTCTAGGAGAATCCATGTTACAGTTTTGTTTGTGTTCCCAGCATCCTTTGCATGCCTTTCTGCTGGTTAGTTTTTCTTCTGCATATGCAGTTCATGTTTTACCCATAATGCACTCGCTTGGCATAGGTTTTTGAAATTGGTAAATTTTTAGCAGACTTGGAAGAATGATGTTTATCGCCTTGTACTATTTTTAACTGAAATTTAACTCAAAAATATTTCTGTTGAAAGGTACATGTATGACACTTTAATCAAACACTTGTTTTCCACAGCAATGTTCCATGGACAGTGATTGCCATGTGTAGTTGTACAAATTTGTACATAGTGTCTAGGTTTTTTGCAGTTAGTTTAATGGTGTTTATACCTTTAAAATTTGCTATTGGTTTTTTATCGATGATGTTGTAGTCTGGTATAGTACAGCCGACAATTTTGATGTATTGTTGATACATCCCAGTAACACTTCTAGCTAAAGGCATTGGGATACATTCTCATAATATATATCGATGCCCGAAACACCTTAAAAATGTTAAAGTTTTAATGTTTTTTTTTCGTCTTTTGTCTGAAATGTTCTGACAATATGTATAATAAAAAAAAACACTATTCATTAAAGTGCCTGTGAAATGGCTGCTATTTTCACGCCTAAAATTATCCATTGATACATAAATATTATTATTTTTTATGTTTCTAAGCATAAATAATTTTTTTAAGTGAAAAAATGTGTTTTTAACTCAGTCTACGGAAACTTTATTTTTGTGTATTTTAAAATGAGGCTCCTCATTAGCTTCTCATTTGCATACACAAATTCCCCTTGTGACGTCAGAAGGGGAAGTCGCTGGGCAGCTTGCATTGCCGATACGTGTAAATAAGGCAAATTTCTTGTGCTGTTTTCTCGTCTTTGACTAAATTGCCACTTATGTACTTGTTTGTCGAGGAAGAATGGACCATAATGAACACATAGTATCAAGTTTGTTGCATGGGGTTGAGTCAGATGCGAAATATGTTCGGTCTGGTGTCGCTAGTCACCATGGTCGTCACAGTCTCCGGAGCACGTTTGTACACTGTCGCTGGACTCCGGCATTGGACAAAATTGAATTTGACGGCTGAATCGTCTTGTTATTTAGCAGGTTACTAGACACTATTGATTTATAAAATAGAGAAATAATTTTAAAAAAACGACAAAACACAGTTACTGAATAAATGACT